ACTACTGGACTATATTGAAATATTTTGCTGAATTCATGAACCTACAATATTTAAATGACAGTGCAATACCCTTCTCTGACAAAGCTAAACAAAAAAGCGTATACAAAAGAATGACTATTTTGTATCTGTATATTCAAAATAGGTAAGATAAATATGTAGCTACTTTCTTTTAATCCAATGAATAGAAAGATTTGTTCTAATAGTGTTCGTTGACAGGATATTATGTCTTCATTTTGTACAATGAATAACCACTAAGACAACAATATGCAATGTATTAATCACTGAAACTATCTTACTAATCTGTTTTGAAACTGTCTCATTGCTGTTTCTCAATAAAATTATAAATAATATTATACATCATGATCCATTAGGATTTATCCCAGGAATGCAGGGATCATACCAACAGAGCCAAAGACAAAAATCACATGATCATTACAATAGATGCAGAAAAAGCTTTCTACAAAATCCAACACTCATTCATGATAAAAACCCTACAAAAAATCAGTGTAGATGGTTTTAACCTTAGCCTGATAAAAGGCACCTATGAGGAACCAAGAGCCAACATCATACCAAAAGGACAAAAATTGAAGGTCTTCACTTTAAATCAGGATCAAGACAAGGCTGCCCACTGTCACCACTCCTATTCAATATAGTTATGGAAATATTAGCCCTGCAATTTCAGAAGAGAAAGAAAAGGAATAATGATTGGAAAGGAAGAAATGAAATTATCATTATTTGCAGATGATATGACACTACGCAAAGAAGACCACAACATTCTACTAAGAGACTTGCACATTTAATAATCAAATTCAGAAGCATAGTGTACAAATTTGACACTCAAAAATCAGTAGCATTTCTATATAAAAACAAGCACTGATAAATTATTGAAACTATGCCTTTCACAACACCACCCAATAAAATAATAAATAATTATTATTTTAGGAATCAATCTCACAAAGTAAAAGATTTATACAGTGCTAATTATGGTACTCAGAAAAGAGATGGAAGAGGATTTGAGAAAATGGAAAGATTTTCCTTGCTCTTGGATAGGAAGAGCCAACACTGAAAATGGCCATATCACAAAATTATTACACAGATTCAATGCAATACAAATGAAAATACCATTAATTTACCTCACAGATCTAGAAAAAAAAATCTTAAAATGCAACTGGAGTCAGAAGAGGCCCAGAATATCAAAAATGATCCTGAGTAACAAAGGAAAGGCAGGCATCACAACCCCTGATTTGAAGTTATACTACAAAGCTACTGTGATAAAATCAGCATGGTACTAGCAAAAACAAAGACAAAAACACACCTGAGGATCAATGGAACAGATTAGAAGATTCAGATACAACTATAAAACTCATTCAGTGTCAGTTACCGTGTCTTTGACAAAAGAGCCAAACATGTTCACTGAAAGAAAGATAACTTCCTTTTTCCTTGCTCCTTAAAAATTTTATTTATTTATTTACATATTTTGTATAGGGTGTCATGACGCAGTTCATACTCAAACTGATCCTCCGTGTCAGCCTCCATAGTGCTGGAATTACAGTGGCCAGCACAGTGTGCCCAATGGCTTGGCATGTGGTACTGGAGATTGAACCTCAGTCCTTGTGCTTGCCAGTTAGGCACTTAAACCACCAAGCTATCTCCCCAGGCCTGAAAAACAGCCTCATTAATAAACAGTGCTGGAAACACTAGCTTTCTACATGTGGATTGTTTAAAATAGATCCATATCTATCACCAGGCACAAAACTATAGGCAACATGGATCAAAGATTTAAATACTGAAACTGAAATACTAAATCTTCTGGAAGAGAAAGTTGGGTAGAAATAATAAGGATGTAGGGGTAGAGTTATGAACAAAAATCAAGCTGCACAGAAAATACTTCAAAGAATCAACAATTGGGATCTCATCTTTTTGAAAAGTTTCTGCACAATGAAAATCACCAACAGAGTAAAAAGAAAAATCCGCAAATTAGGGAAAAAATCTATAGCAGATTATCCTTCAGATGAAGGACTTCTATCTAGAACATATAAAGAATTTTAAAAAAAATTAGGCCTCCAAAATTCAAAGACCCAAAAATGGGTATCTGAGATGAATATACATTTCACAAATGAAGAAACACAAATGGCAAATAAATATATGAAAAACTGTTCAACATCATTGGGCATTTAACAGATGCAAATAAAAACAACGCTGATATACCATTTTGTGTCAGAAAGAGTGGCTATCATCAAGAAGTCAACCAGTAACAGAGGCTGGAGAGACTGCAGGAAAAAAGGAACTCTTCTGCACTGTTGGTGGGACAGCAGGCATTATGGAAACCATTATGGAAATCATATGAAGATTCCTCAAAAAGCTAGGATTGGTGGTCCCATTCAACCCAGCTATCCCCTTCCTAGGAATTTTTCCAAAAGAACTGAAATCATCATACTACAGCGATATATGTGCACCCATGTTTACAGCAGTGCAATTTGTCATAGCTAAACCTTGGAAACAACCCAAATGACCATCAAGTCAAGAATTGAAAAAAAAATTATAGTATTATTACACAATGGAGCATTATTAAGCTATAAAAAAGGCTTTTGTAGATAAACAGATGCAACTAAAGACTACATTGGTAAGTGAAATAAATCAGATCCACATTTGCAAACATCGTATTATCTTGTTAGTGTGTGAACTTTTAAAGAGTAATTAAAATCTGAAACGTACAATAGATACTGTGAAAGGAAAGACCTTGTTTATTGACAAGGAAAAATTTGGATGAAGAAATGGACAAATGAGAAAAGTGAAAAAGATATATTCATGTATATTTGCAAAAGTTTGTATAACTGTACTGCTGATTTCTGCTGGTCTTTTGAAGGGAACACTTAATGCTTACATTTTTTTTTATTTTTTTTCTTTTGAATTTCTTACAGTTTTTTTGTTGTTTTGTTTTTCTTTCAACCAATCTTGCACGTTTATATCTAATAACCTGAACAATTAATTTGAATATCATGTAATACAGCAACCATTGTTGAATTCTTATTACTTTTTGTGAAATTTTGTATCATTTCTCATACTGTTTTTTCTATCACCATTTTGAATGCAAAAAATAAAAAACTATAATTGTTAAAAAAGAATTTTGTCTCTATCTCTGAGTAAATTATTCAAGTGAGGCCATAGCAATGGTTTCTGTTAGACTGTGTTATACAGCCCATGTACTCTGCTTTATTTGACATTTTCATTTCAGTTTCTGCACATGTAGTCCGTTTTCTTGCATTCTTCTTTAGCAAATGATGTCTTTTTTCACTTATCACTTCTCGGTTGGGATTTTATTATAGCTTATACTTAAATGGCTTTATTTAAAAGAGTTCCAAATAACTTACTGCTATTTCTGCAAAGTGTATTACTGTAAATATGAGAAACATTTTATTTGTGGAGTTTTGAGCGCTATTTTTGAAGGGAATATCTAGTTCATCCTTCCCTCTGACTACCTGTTGCCAAGAGAATGTAAGCACAATTTACTAACATTCATCAGCTCAATGACTGGAAATTACGTTGGTGATTTTTTTTTTTTCAACCGAGAACCGAACTCAGGACCTTCTACTTGCCAAATAGGAACTGTGCTGCAGAGCTATCCACCCAGTTGCCATTAAGTTCCCAAAGCCATAGTCTTTATTATCATCACTCTTAGAGATGTGATTCAAACTAACCGTCGGTCCTACAGGGATGCTATGGATCAATTATACACTCACAATAAGGAGGACAACAGTGACTTAGTATTTGCTGAGTAAGTGCATGTTACGCTATTAGGTAACAGCTTTGGTTATATAATAAAAGGCCACTGCCTCCAACATACTCTCTTGAAGCTCAAGTGTTGAGAATTGCTTCCTATCAGTCTCCTGATAATTAGGGTTCAAAGTTGACAGAAGCTTTTATATAAAACCACTCTGAGATGGCACATTTTGAAAAAAAACAGTTTCATATTCTCTTCATAAGTTCCAGAATTACCATTGTGCTCTTCTTACACTGCTATGGGACAGAGTAAAGCAGAAAGCCACCTCTCACAACCTCCTGTTTTATTGAAAAGTGTGTTATCTTACCCCTGATAGTGCCACAGAATCTGAGTTCTTTTAGCCTTGTGTGAGAAGAGGACACCTTCCATTGTTGTGGGATGAATTTACTGATAAAATCTGATTAATGCCAGACCTATATTTAGTTAACATTTTTATTGCTATGTGTTACCAATACAATGAACAGCATTAATAGTGTACACTTTGATAAAAAGAAACTTTTAGCTTAGCACAAAAGAAAGCCAAAAGGTCAGAATTGAATGACTATATACAATGTGTGTGTGTGTGTGTGTGTGTGTGTGTGTGTGTGTGTTTACTTTTTAATACCCCTGTGGACCAGACATATATACAAGCAAGTAAATTTGAAGTCTTAGTGATTGGTTTATATCTGAAATTTACCTAGTTTTTGACCTTCTGAATTCTGGCAGAAAGCAACCCCAATTCTTAGAGGTATAGAGTCAATGGCTTAGGCCATTTATAAGAGGTAAAATCCCAAAGTCCTTGTATATTCCATGCTTTGAGAAGTTAACATAACTATATTTTAGTTTTCCATAATATGTTTTTAGACATTTCAGGTAATGACCTCAAAAAACACTAAGAATATTTAATTTTTCATTGAGCATAATTCAGGAAGCACTGCTCTCTTTCATACACTTTTAAAAATGTTTCTACTTCATTATTTCATTAAGCAGCTAGTTAAGTTCCTATGGTTTCTTGAAGAGGAACAAGTCATCAACTTTGTATCAACTACTTTAAAAATGTAAAATGTCTACATAACATCAAATTTGTTTAAGTTTAGTTCTTTGAATTGGCTGAGGTGGTTGGCTTAAATTTCTCCCCAAAGCACAGAACAAATAACACTCCTTTAATTATGTCTCTCTAGTTTAAAATATGCTATTGATATTAGCATAAATAGCACATAAATATATCATCAAGAAAAAAATCAACTTTTAATAAATAGCTTCGGTTCTGAATTCTATATACAGGTACTTTACATCTACTCCTTGAAGGGAGCATTTCTGGCTTTGCTGTGTGTGAAGAAATCACTGATGTAGTTATGAGCACGTTATTGCAGTCAGATAAATTTTAATTGTGATCATTTGGCTATGAACTATACAGACAATAAATATCTTAACCACTGATGAATGCTTTCTTGAACCTGCTTTCAAAGCACTCCCATATTTAAGGGTCAATTCCAGTTTCATGATATGCTTCTAAGCTACACATATCATCCCTGTGTTTTCTTTGTGTTTATTACAGTATTACTGTTCAAATATCAACAATGGGAATATTTTAAAAACAACAACACAAGAACACAGGACATCTTGACTAGAACTTCAGGGTCGTCTTGTGCAGGCACACTTCCGGTTCCCTGTGACCACAAGTGTGCTCAACCTGCAATTAAAGGGATAGAAGGCAAAGGGGACAGTGAGATCTGTTTACCAAAGCTTCTCTTTTTCTTTAATTTAAGTACCATGTTGTTGGTTTAACAAAAAATTATACAACAAAACCTTATATTGTGAGTAGCTGTAATTTTAAATTCTCTGTAGTAATTCTGCTTTGAAAGCCAATCCATGGAATGTCAAATAAAGTTAAATAAGGTGATACTCAATGACAGACACCTAGAAAGTCCAGAAATGTAAGATAGTAAACAATTATTTCGAGAACATCTCTTACAATAATGTATTTCTGCAATGTACAATATTTACACAACAGCTGCAAATTTGCTCATACAATTTTTACTATAGATAAATAGCAATGCAAGTCTGAGAATTCTCTGCCTCATTTCCAAAGTTTCTTTTAAAAGTGTAAACTATTATATCTCTTTAATTTTTATTTTTAATAGAAAAACATCAGTTGATATGCACTGTTCATTCTAGTCCCTTTTCTTCTTTACAGAGTAACCAACACAGCAACTTACTTTCCTTCTGTTAATAATCTTTGGTGCTTTCTTCCAATGAATCCTGGCAGATGAGTCCATGTAGAAGAGGAGGATGAAAGCAGTGAGGAAGTGAACCAGCACTTTTTGTTTTTCCACCAACACATGAAATGAGCTGATGGCCTGTGGTACTTTCCACTTTGAATAAGGTGTATGCCCCATGCTGAGGGAGGCTGTCTAGGTTACCTTTCGATTCTTTGCCTGCTGGTTGTTCCTCATCTTTCTATGGTAGGTGAGCTTATTAGACGTCTCTTATTGATAATCTTTCCACCGTTCCTTGAGGTTCTTGTCTGAGAAATATCTATTGAGTCACTTACTGCAAGGAAGGAAGCAGCAGCCACCTCTGAATGTGAGCGATCAGAGGAAGCCGGTACTGAGAGCAAGCTCAGTGCCTGCCTTCTAGCCTGAGCCCCTGGCTGGGGTGAATTAGCACCAGCAGGCCTGCTGTCAGGCCTAAAAGCAGCATTTGCATTTGGGCTTCCCACTGAAGAGACACTCTGCACAGGTTTTTTCTCAGCAGGCATCTCTGCATGGGAAGGAACCATTGGGGTGGGGATAACTAGGGCATGGGGGAGGTTGGTGGGGCTAAAGATGGCATCATCATGAGCCTCAGCAGTTTCAGGCAGATGAGGTGGTGGCAGTGTGCTACTGCGCTTGCTGCAGGACTCACAGCACAACTTGTTGTAACCTGGAATGGAGCAGTACCGAGCCAGCACTTCCATCTGACAGAATATGGACTTGTCTCCCAAACATGGCTCGTCTGCAGAAATTAAAAAAGCATGATACATAAAAATATCTTATCTTCATAAAAAGACTTTTGTAGAGTCTGACATCAGTGGGAACTATCTACATAAACCTTTACATTAAAAATACATGTATTAAGACAAATTCATTTAAGTCACTAAGAACTTTGTAGTTCTTTATCTACGAAGTATTTGGTAGGCCCACATTGTAACATCTCCACCAGGAGTCTTCACTTGACTGAGGGTAGCTGGTTTTTTCTGAGTAGAAACATATATCTGACACCAGAATAAGAAAATAGAATTCATTTTACTACAAACATTTATAGACTAACCAGATATTTTTTTGTCGTTGTTTCTTGGTACCAGGGATCAAACTCAGGACCTTGTTGGCCATGCAAGTGCTTACAACACTGACCTATCCCTGGCAGAAAAAAATATCTTTTGTAAAAAGTATCCTACTTTCTATTTCTGGCTTTCTAATAGGGTTCCCTCTAAATTAAATTTAAAGCCATACACAAAAGATCAACTGTAACAAAAGAAATATTAAAAAATATATGACCAAAAGAAAAACAAAAGTACTATTTTGATAAAAAAAATCTATGTCTTCAAAGCATATCCTGGGTGTCAAGATAAGCAGAACTATGTTTTAGCACCCAGAGATCTCCACCCTGGGGATGTTGCTCCCGCACCACTGGTTCAATAGGATTGCCTGTTGTGGGCTCTTGGGAATAATCACTTCAAACCACAATGAACTACTGGACAACATATGCATCCTGCTCTGTAACTTGTCACAGAGACAGAAGAATCCTTTTTCCAAACTTTTGGGGAAAAAAGGAGGGTCAGTTGCTATAATTAGCAGAGAGCTAAAATGACTTACTTTGTGAACTGTCATACCCAAACTGTGGAGTGATTCCCACTGTCTTGACATCTGCAGGTCTCTCATGCAGCACATATCTGGGTATTTTTTTGTTAGCTAAAGCAGTCATCTGGATATGCTGTGACTGTCTGAAGATTATATGAACAGTTTTCACCTCCACTTTCAATTCCTCACCATTTGTGAATTCTTTTTCTATAGCTATATCTTAAAATAAGGAGATTTTTTTTCCTTTTACCCTATTTATAGCTTTAGGTACCAGTAGGAAAAGAATGTAGGAAAGCCCTATAATCTTTGTTCCTGTGGCCCACTGCCAACACCCTTGTGTGTCTGGGTTTCAGAATGACTCAAAGGCATCACACACCATCAGCACCTTGGGGCTGCAGAGACCCATTCCCAGCCTGAGGCTCCTAGAGATAGAATATGCTACCGCAAGAATTTGGAAAGATGAGGCGGACCCTGAGGAGAAACATGCATGATGAAGCTATCCATTAACTTTATGGTCGATGACCTAGATACAGAGTAGAAAGTTTTAAAGCAGATAAGGAAATATTTTTCACAAGGAAAACATGGAGTCATGTGACAAAATCAATCATTAAAATTCAGAAAAACTTTTCGGCATTCTTACTTTGCCTCCAAGTCATTCTAAGAATTTCCAAGAAAGGATTTTATAACTAATCTTAAAAGATCACTTGATTCTAACAGCAGCTTGAGACTCTGAAGGCAACTCTAACATATTTGAGCGACATAGGAAAAATTGTCTTCAAGAATACTCAGCATTGGCCTTTGGGCCTCAATTTCAGAGCAACAGAGCAGCTGGGAGGAATCTGGGGCCCATAACAGTTATGCCACCTCCTTGGCAGCTTGGTTTTGAAAAAAAATACTTTCTTTGGGCTAAGGATAGTGAAACATCTTTCTGGTAGCTGCACACATATGTGGAAACTTATTAGCTCTGCCAGCAATTAAGGAATGGGAAACTACCTCCTGACACAGTGGCTACCAAAGACAAGCAGTACAGAGATAGGAAATTTGAAGTCCTTTACTGCTAGCTTGCTCTTTTGCCTTTGCCTTAGGTTTTGAGTTGTCGAAGGTGAAATGACTAAATATTCAGCAGTCTTGTGTCTCCCACTGATGTTCATATTTGTTCTTGTCATATACAGTGAAAATTCATAATGACATTGAGGTATAATGACTGGAAGCTCGAAATTTTCATAGCACAAGACATTTGATACAATAGTGTCTCACCAATTTTCCTTTGAAAAAGGATAAAGTATATTAATATTGAGCCAGTGGTTCACTCACAGAGTTGGAGGCTGAGGCAAAAACCATATCTTCAGCCCTGAGTTTTTGGTAAGCATAGTGATGCCAGTAGTTGTCATAGGAGGAGATACAGGAGCATAGCATTAGAAAGGAAGGTTGTGGTGGGGATGGGGAGGTCGGGAAACAGAGGCAGGAAAGTGGGAAATAGCAGTAAGGAGTAGAACAGGGTCTGGAAGGAAAAAGGGGGCAAGTGGGTGCCCCTTTCTTGCTGCATACCTCCTTTCAAGCTTTGAATGTTGAAACATAACCCCATGGTGACAGTACCAGGAGGTGGGGACTTTGGAGGGTGATGAGGTCAAGAAGGTGTGGGCCTTGAGAATAGGATTAGAGTCCCTAAAAACTTGGGGCTGCTTCCTAGTCCCTCCATTACATGAAGACAAAGGAGAAAAATATCTATGAAGGCTGCATTACACACAAGTCCATGGCACTTCCACCTCAAGCCACACATTTTGTTGTCCCTAATGTAACAAAATGTGTATTCTTTTTTTTTAACTAGGGATTGAACTCTGGACCTTGCACTTACCAGGCAAGCACTTAAGCCACTATTTTCCCTACCCTGAGTCATTTCTTGATGGCATTCTGAATGAACTAAGAGAGTGGAGGGACAATGGACAGGGAGAGACAGAGTGATAGAAAAAAGCAAGGTAAGGACAGGAGGTAGAGCTGGGGGAGGAGGGGACATGATAATGTGAGGATGAAGAACACAGTGTAGACATGTCGAGGTAGACATGCCCTCTGATGAGATCAGGTCAAGAGAAGCAAAGGAGACTCTAAAGTCCTGGAGGGGGTCAGAAAACCACTTGTCTCCAGGGAGAGCAACAGAAAAGGGACCATGCACACTGTACATTGTTTGTGTTTTAAACAAACTCCACTTTTGCAACAAAGCAAGCTGGTGGGCCAAGCAACTGCTTATTTTTAGTGTATGTGAAGGATGATTATTTCTAATCACTGTCTACATGCATGACAATCACTAGAACTGGTTTTAGAGTTGAGTAAGGTTATCATGTACATATCTAAAACAATGACTTTAGTAATGCATCTCAAAACCTGTTATATTATGCCTTTTCAAATAAGTTGAAATTTTATTTAAAGAGTATAACAGAGAAAAATACTCAGCCCCCACTAAGAACACAAACTGACTAGTTATCTCTGCTTGACGTGGTCATGCTCTAAGAGACCATCACAGGGTCACAACCATCACATGGCTTAGCACAGGGCCCCAGATAAACTCTGACTTATAGTTCAGGAGTATCTTCCTCTGATTAATTTTCAATAAGCAATGAATGCCACAAAGCTTATCCTGGAAGGAAATCCTGTTTCTTGAGGTTGGCAACCAGGGCCAGGCAGCGTCTGTACCTACCGTGGCAGGGAGGCAGCTGACACACTCTCTGGGATGCAGGCCTTTCACCATCGCAGTGGTCTCCAGCCCTACAAAGAACTTGCCTCACCTCAATGCCTTCGCCACATGTCACAGAACACTAGAAGACAGAGCCTGGAGTTATTCCTGTTTATCCCACCAGGACTGAGCATATAATATCTTCCCCATACAGCCACAGTAGTCTACACCCTGACTCCTCCATGACCATCCTCGCCACATTACTTGTACTGTGTGAACCTTGGCTTCCTCCTCTGGAAAGCTAGGTGTAATGTTTATGCCTAGAGAGTGCTACCGGACTACACGATGGCACAGGAAGCAACATGTGCAAAGCATAAGTGCCTGCACCTGCTGAGGATGCCTCATGAAAGAAGTCATGCAGAGAACAGTGTTAATCCCCACTGCTCTCTGGAGACCCAGTCATGGTACTGAGGTTCTCCCCTCCTTTATCTTTCTTACAAATACAGACTTTAACAACAAACTACCTTGGGTAACTCAACCTCTATCCCCATCAATAATTTTCCCTCATGAAAGGGCTACTTGCTCTAAAGCTAAGCCCCACAATGTCCTTCTGGCTGACACCTGGATAGAAGCTGAAAGAACTATGCTCAGGTCTCTGGGGAGGTAAGGACATGAGTGACCATTCTACTTGGAAGACCTCTGTGTGCCTGCTAACTCCTTCTGGGCTGGTCTCTACATCTCCTCCTTTGTACTTTGATTTTTGATGCATTTTCTTCCTATAGACTTTCTACAGCCCCACAACTGCTTATTGTGAGTCTTTAGAAATAATAAAGCAGGGTCCGAGAGATAGCTCAGTAGAAGTTCCTGCCTGGCAAGCACAGGGTTCAATCCCTGTTGCCAGAAAAAAAAGAAATAAATACTAAGGCACAAATAGTGCTTTAGTGACACAACAGAGTCATTCAGTCACCAAACAAGCACCACCCACATAAGTTAGTAAAACAAACCTCTTCTCCCGCCCCTGAAATATGCAGAACCCAGGCAAGCTTCAGGAGCTCACTGCCTTGAGATACAGAGGACAATTTGGGAGGGACAGCCCAGAGCTTGGGAATCTGGGCTGGGACTTTGAGCTCTGGTGGAGGGGAGAGCAAGGCATAGGAAAGGAAGGAGGATGGAGCAGGTGCACTCTGTTTATTCGAATAGGATGCAGAGCTGGAATAAGGCAGAACAAGTAAGAGGAATGAAGGCATATAGGAGAGCAGGGTGTCCTGAGGGACATTAACAAAGACCTCAGGTGCAAAGCCAGTCACTTTCAGACATTTCCATGTACAAAACACCAACTGTGGTTTGCCTACAGCTAACTTATGTACAAATACTGTTTTAGGGTTCACTTCTCTAACCCCTTCCATTATGATGCTGAAGCCAGACTGACATGTTGCACACATTAGCACATGGACTTCACACACCTACCTCATTCCAGGGCCCTGTTTTCCACTGAGCTGGGCAGGGCACTCTGTTGCAGGGCCGGCGGCTCTCAGGACGCTCCCCGACACAGTACTTGCTATTCACAGAGCGATTGGTGCTGTCATGGAGTGGCTGAAGGCAGCGGATGGTGCGGAGCTGGAAGCCAGAACTGCCACAGGTCTTAGTGCAGTGTTCCCAGTCCTCTGCGACCCAGCTGTGCAGGGGGTTGAGGTGGGATAGTGTTATAGAGAAGAAGGGGCTGGAGCTCTTGGACCATATACTCCCTGAGCAACTTGCAACCCAGCAGACCCACTATAGACAAAAGTGGAGTCCAAGCCCCATACCTTTCACTTCATTCCCTGTTCTTCCTGCCTCTTGGTGATTCTGAAACATTGGTGTAAATGATTTTCTATGGAAAGATTCTGAAATGCATCGGGAGGTTGCCTTGTACAATCCAGGCAGGAAGTGCTTGTCAGAAACACTTGATCACACTCAGCCACACTGCCTAGCGACTGAATTACATAGCGACTCTGAGAGGGGATGAGGTGGGCAGGGATTTTAAAACATTAAAAAAAAATCTCCCAGAGATGAAAGATATTGTCTTTGTGTTCTAAAAGCCTACAAGCATCATTTGAAACAACATGGCTGAATATAGAGGATATTTTGTTAAGAAAATATGCCAGATACAAAGAGACAAATATAACGTGACCCCACATGTGGAATCTAAGCAGCAAATTTATGGAATCATAAAGCAGAAAGATAATAGCCAGAAGCTGGATGGGGCAGGGAGGGAGAAACAGAGCAACTGGTCAAATAAAGTTTCGACTACAGGGGTTACTTTTGAGGTCTCATTGTAAAATATGGAGAGGCCAGTTAATGGCAATGCTACATATATTTCAAAATAGGTAAAATAGGATTGAATGACGTTCACACTACATTTATACATAAAAGACAAGTATGTAAGGTGAAAGATATACAGATTAGTTAGACTACATAATTCCATATTAAAACATCACATTGTCAGTTAAGTAATTCTACAAGTCCACAGCACCATGTGTTTATAAGAAGAGATGACTTCACTGTGACATTTCAGTTTTCTAGGAAGATAGACATTCCACCTACTTTGAAAGACAATATAGGTCAGGTAGACAGAACTAAAACTCAGAATTATAATTTTTCAAAAACAACCTTGGAATCTAGAGAACACTGGAACAATTTTTTGACATTCTGAAGAAAAAATTTAGAACTATACATACGTGTGCATCCCCAAATAATTAAGAGAAAGAACAAAATAAATACATCTTTATATGCAACCTGCTATATACCCTAGGTGTCTTAAGAATGAATTCTTTTTTTTAATTTTTTTATTTTTTATTCAGCCCTTTATTTTTTCCATAATTTTATTCAAAAACAAATAGTAATGAGACAGTTTCAAACCAAATTGGTAGGACAGTTTCAATAATTAACACATTGCATACATTCTTCCTAGTGGTTAATTTCTGTATAAGACGCAGACATGATATCCTATTTGCAAACACTATTAGAACAAATCCCTCTATTCATTAAGAGAATGTAACTGTATATCTATCCTAACCATTTTGAATACACAGATACAAGAATGAATTCTTGTATAAATATTTTACTTTATATGTACTTTTTAGCATGAAATTCCTGAACGATATGAATAAAGAAATGAGAAAACAACTACTACAGAAAATAGGAGATCCTACACAAGAGAAGGGACAGTGGGAATCTCCAGGAGAAAGCTCAAGCTGCAGCTGGGCCACAAGGACTCTTCTGTGTCTACCAGCATGAGGGATGGGTACCCAAGGAAGAGAGTTTAACTATGAATTTATAAAAAGTATTAGAAAACATAAAAATCAATTTCTCAATTTATTCTTTTTTATATATTGGTACCAAAGATTGAACTCAGTACCTTGCACGTGCCAGGCAGGCACTTATGCTGCTGAGCTATCTCCCCAGCCCTCTATTTATTCTAAAAGAACAAAGCTTTATAAGAATATAAACATAATCAGATCATTCAATGTGATTCAGCTGCTGAGAGATATTTGTTAATGTAAGCCCTACTATCATTAGAATATTATCATCAGTATTGGCATATTGGGAAAGCAAAGAGTGTGGGCTATGGACGCTGTTAAGAAATACTTAGTCTTCACATCCCATAGTGGAAATTCGATATATAACGCCACATACTGCCCCCCCAATCAATGACTAGAAACAAAAGTATTTTACTAAGAGAGATGGAAATAATAATCAAATATTAAAAGAATATTAACAGCTAAAGAAGTGGGAATATGGGAAATGTGGAAACTAAACATTTATATATAATTCCTAAGAAATAATTTGATTACCTAAACCAAAAGCAGGTATATGTAAAGCTTTGATTAAAACTTAAACCTGAAAAGAGCTAAAGACAACTAAGCCCCTGATTAAGCTCTGAATGTAACATCTGAAATACACTTACAGTGGATGTGTACAGTCTTGAATATTGCACATTCGTCTGATAGGCTTTGGCTTCTTGCTAGATTCACAGAAGCTACGATGTACCATTTTATTATCACTTTTCCTGCGGCATCCGTATTTAGTGTATTGGAAACCTGGAAAATGAAACACATTTCTTTGAATTTAGTCATTTATTTGTTAAATATCCATTCCACTACACATTCATGTATTCATTTCATAAATATTTATATGCATAGTAAGTCAGATACTGTGAGAGGTTCTATCACTTTAAATGAAAAAAATCTAATTTTTCTAGTCTAGATTTAATAAATTTCAAAAATTATGAGACAGCAATTGCACATTTTCTAGAGAACTAGAATAAATAAATACTGTGAGGACAGATTTGAAAGCATTGTGACAATAGCCAATACTCAAGGCTTTCACAGGCTCTGAGTCTGCACAGAACACCAAAGGGGAACACAGTAAAAGCCTAGAGTCAAGGAGGATGGGTAGAGAGGGCACCAGGACCAGCACTTCCCAGAGCACAAAGAACCCTGAAGCAAAATGGCCTGTAAAGGAAATGAAGCAGGACTACACTCCTGGGACAGGAGATGATAGAGAACTCTAGGTACTTTAGAAGGCTGACATGCCAAGAGTGCAGTGGAAGGAGGAGGAAAAGGAGAAAGAGGACAGAGAAAAGGAGAGAGAAGAGGAGGAAGAGAAGGAGGAGGATTGGGATTGGAGGTCTTGAGCAGATACAGACATTTGTACTTTATCCTGAAGACTGTGGGGCTGACTGAAGGTCATTCTGCGTCTGCCATTTTCATATTTGTTTTTTAAATTTTTTTTGTTTGTATATTTATTTTATTTTTATTTTTAAAAGAAAGCACAAATTAGAACTAAAACAGAAAAAATTACATGATACAGAATTTCACTTAACAGAGCATTTTCATATTTGTAAAAAATAAATTATAAAAGTTTGAAAATGTTCTAGCCTACAAAAAGGCTGCAAGGAAATGAAAAAGAATATTTGTATGTATGTTTTGTTACTATGCCACCATATTTATTACATTAAGATTATATATATATTAATATATATGTGAACATATGTAAAAATTTACTGCATGTTTAAATTTTTTCTAAACTATAAGAATGAGTTACAGACATCTTGATCATTCACTCCTAAGTGTTTCATAACAAGTACACAAGTGCAATATAATTATTAGAATCAGGAAATTTAATATAGATATAATTTTGTTATCTAATAGTTATTTAATTCAGACCATGAATATGAATTATCATATTAACACCTATGAATTATCCTTATCATGTTCTGTACAGCAATGTTTTTACATTTAACTATTCTGTGTCTTTAACTCTGAAATAATTTTTAAGCCTCTTTCCATGTTTTGTGGCATTTAGTATTTTTTGAAGTATATATAGTTGTCTATAAGGTGTTGCGTTAGTGTGTTAGTGGCTCCCCATCATGAGACCTCGACTATTCACTCTCAGGCAAGAATGCTACTTAAATGATGTCAGATATCAAGGCACCTCAAAGGAAGACTAAGGATTTAATCAAGAAAAGAACAGGGCTTCACTCATTTATGCACAACATTTGCCCTGGAAATAAAGGAAAAAGAGAAAAACTGAGTTAAATCTACTGATGAACCTGGGAAGGGACAAATGTCACCAAGATAGTGTACCTGACAAATCTGATGCCCAGTGGATGCAAGCATTTGACAGGAAAAAGGATCCAAGTTAAATAAGCATCTTCTTATGGATAAACCATCTTTCTTACTTAACTAAAACATTTTATCTCTCCAAACACTTAAGAAATACCTTCTTTTTTTTTGTACTGAGGACTGAATTCAGGACCTTGCACTTGCAAGGCAGGCACTTAAGCCGCTGAGCTATCTCACCACCCCAGAAATATCTTCTTAAAGTTTACAGTATCAAGTGCTCTCTACCGTGAACATATTTTTTTTGTTCTCGATTATTTGCTCTCATATTTGTGATGGCCCTTGCATTGTGTTGTCCCCAGACAGAGTCTTGTTGAGAACTAGAGGAACAGATGACATCAGGGACTGAACATTTCTCAGAGTCACTTCAAGGAAAGCAAAGCCAGTGAGTAGAAGGGCAGTGGAAGGAAGGGCTCAGATTACAAAGTCAGGCTGCCCTCCTCTGAATCCCAAGTCTTAGACAAATTACTGTCTTCCTTGTGCTTCAATTTTACCATGGGAACAACAGAGACAAAAACAGCAGTTTCTTCGGGCTTCTGTAAGTATTCATGCATTTCACATCATTCAGAATAGCAGTGACTTCCAAATAAATAGCATAATCTGATTTCTACTCACATAAAGCTAACAGCTCTTTTATGAACACAAATGGAAAAACCAATACTTAGGCATGGAAAGCACAGAGAAAGGGAGGTCATGCAGGGAGTATAGGAGGGTTGAGGAAAGGGGATGTGATCAAGAGCACCACTGCTGGGACCTGGACATGGAGAACCAGGGCAGATACCAAGAGGGGTTCTGTTCTACCACTGATCCCATATGGGATCCTTAATTCCCAAAATTTCCATAGTCATGCTTTGCACTTACACTTTGGTTGTTATTCTGGGTGTCTCTTAGTCTGCAGCCTCAACTGCATGCTATCTTTTAAAGCAGAAGCAAAGCTGTCTACTCTATGGGTTTCTTTTTTAACATACAAATGTGCTACATCTGTACCTCCACCACAGGGCTTGGAGCACTGGGACCAGCTCTTCAGAGCCCACTCGAAGGTGTCCTGCTCTTCCTGGATGACATTGTTGTTGCTGATGGTGGGCACAGAGTCCTCGTGGATGATGTACTTGTATGTAAGGCTGGAGGAGCGGGTGTCATTCTCCTGAGGTATGATCTAGCATACACATAACACCAATGCATGTAAGTAAACTAAACAATATTTTAATTTTAAGTGAAAATTTACAAATATTTAAGAACACTATTCTTATTGACACAGGAAAACGTTCAGCCTGTAAACTACAAAGTAGGGGCTGGGGAGATAGTGCAGTAGAATAAGCGCTTGCCTGGCAAGCGCAAGGACCTGAGTTCAATCCTAGGTTCCAAAAACAAACAAACAAACAAACAAACAAACAAACAAACAAAAACCCAGTGTTTTTGTTTCTATTAACTCAAGTGTTACACTGTTCAAAAATGCAAATATATAATTTTGGGCATGAAAATATAAAATGATGCACATAAAATGTACACATGCTTTTATAACAATAATAATATCATAGTATTCACTGTAGGCTTCCTGAAATCATCCTCCTTGGTACATTTTAAAGTTGTTCTTGGTAATAAACTGCTCTGTTACTATACAAAAGATGTCTCTCCAGAAAACATACAATGCAAACATAAGAATAAAACAAAAGCCATGTATAATCCTAAGAACCAGTGTATTAGTTACTCTTTTCTCATCGCTGGGACAAATACTCTCAAAATGAGGGAAGGAAAGGTTTATTTAGCTCACAGTTACTGGAGGTTTCAAGACACTGGAGGAGAGGCTGAGGCACTGCTGTGTCCAAAATGACCCTCTCCACCTCTCTAAGAAAGCACCAGCTAGCCAGTTTAATGGCCCTGCCCCTTGGGCTCCACCGTGGTTCTCTGGCCCCACCTGTCAAGCCTCTCCTTGCTCTTCTAGCCCCATCTGCCCCATAACTTACATGTGGCTTTGGGGGGACAACTAGACACAAACCATAACAACCAGAGAATACCAGAGTCACCATAGGTTTGGGGAGCCCCTCATGGTATCACAAGTGGGATGTGCTGAAAGTTTTTGCCTCATTTATATCCTGTAACGTGGTGTGAATATTTCCCATGACAAGACATATCCCTTAAAAAGTAGGTGTGCCAGTGTCAGCACAGTCTTACTTCTAGCAGTGAACATTCCTATCCCATGTTTATGGAGCTTTAACCTCTGTACTAATCCATGTAGTACTAGCACTAGTGATCCTTTATAAAACTGAGGAATAGCCTTCAAGGGGAAGTAGAACAATTGTTACTTTCATAAAGAAATTATATGAAAATGCTGTAATTCAGCGTGAGAGATAATTTTTACCTGCATTAATTAGGTAGGCAAAACATTAGTTATTATTTGAAACTAGAAGTTTAATGTTCACTTGCATTTTGGCTCCTGTGAGCAGCCTAATTGTCAATCCTCATTTCTATTGTACACATATTATTAAACATATTACTCATGTTTTATAATATGAATTATGGATGTTTCCTCAGTTTGTCATTTGCTTTCAACTTTTTTTAAAGAAAAATGTTTACCCTCCTTCCTCCCACCAGGAATGGGATTGAATCTAGAACCTTCTTACTGAACTACATTCCCAACCTATTTTTTAATTTTTATTTTAAGAGAAGACCTTGCTCCTTGACTAAAATACCCAGCTTGAGCTCATGATCCTCCTTCTGCCTCAGCATCCCATAGAGCCAGTGTCACAGCTGTGTGCCACCATGCCTAGCTTTTTCAGTAACTTTTACTAGGTTGTTTATAGGGTTTATAGGGTTGTACCAATTACACAGATATAAATAAATACAGCTAACTGGTATTTTAAACTAAACTTACCAAAAACTTTCATTTGTGAAGCCAAATGATACTAAACTCAGTGGAGTGACAGATTGGTTATTTCCACTCTTTCTTCTATTACCTTAAACTTTGTTTTTAAAATAACATCAGAAATACCAACTCTTAGCTTTTAGCCAGAGGTCTGACTCTTTCAGATTCTACAGCTCAGTCCCACACTCCAGGGCTCCAAACCTGCTCCTCATTTACCAGCAGACAGAAGGTCATGATGATGGAATAGTACTGATCCAGAGCCCTCTTTCCTAGTCATACATCCTTTCTGCATCTCCCTCCCATCCCCAGCTAGGGTTACACCATAACTAGGGACCATGCTAGAGGCACTCTTTCTATCATGGTGTTTAGATCTAGGCTCATGGGAGGAATAAAATGTAATGATTAAGAGGGAAATATAGCTTCTGTTCCCTACTCATTTAACTTTTTTTTTTTTTTGTATTTTAGGGAAGGGTCTACAGGGTGTTCAGTGTCTCACTACTAGATCGGACTCGTAGTGATCTGCCTGTTTACAGCCTCCCAAGAGCTGGGATTATAGGATCATGCCCCCACACCCAGTCTCAACTGCTGTCTCAGCGAGCCCTGGGGGCGGGGCCAGCACAACAGGCCCGGGGATTGAACCCCTGGTCCCTGTGCTTGCTTGTAGGTGTTTTCATTCATGAACTATTTGGCTGGCCCCCCATTTTTTTTTTTTTTTTGTATAGTCATTCAAACTTAATCTAAGTAAATTCTGATTAGTTTTTATGTTTGCTATAAATATAACCTGAGGATCAGAATTCATGTGCAGAAACAGGTCTACATAAAGTTGGACAATTTTTAACATGAAATGAAAAGAAAAATTATTTCAACTACTGGTCATTACAATGGTTTTAAAAATGTGCCTAAGATTAGGCATCTTGGTTTCACCTGTTAGTTGCTTGCTGCATCTGAACTCAGTGTCTTGAGCATCCTGGGGAGAGACACAGGTGTCCAGGGAATGAGTTTCACCCACCACCATAAGGAAAAGTTTAGGAGAAATCCTATGAGATACTTCACTAGCCATAGAACTGAATTGGGAAGCAGTCACCCGCAAATACTCAGGCAAGTATGGGGTAACTATAGCCACTGGTAGCAGCAGCCTCCTAAGGTTCTTATGCCAAAGCTAGTCAGGAAAGCTGATCTCAGATGAACATCCACAAACACTATGGAAAATGTTTCTGTTTAGCCACTGGGATAATCTCTTATCCAGCAACAAATTAATGATAATAACACTTAGATGAAAAGATATAATTTTAGTTTCCTGTGGGAAGATGGCAGAGCAATAAGCAAATCTCTTGAAGGCTCAGAATCCAGATACTGGAAATTAACAGTTAAACACAGTCTAGGATGGACTTACTGCTAAATCCTGTAAGAACTTTAGACAAGATCTAAAGTCAGTACTCCTCAAGCTTCAAGGAAATTGAAAGGGAAACAATACTTTCAGTCATTTCTGGAAGCAAGTATTAACCTGATATTAAAACCAGAGAAGGAATCAACCAAGAAAGAGAACTACAGGCCAATCTCCCTAATGAACACAGATGCAAAAGTCCTCAATAAGATACTTGCAAACAGAATGCAACAAATCATTGAAAAGATAACATCATCATGACCAAGGATTCAACTCAGGTACAGGGATGGTTTAATGTATGCAAATTAATAAATGTAATATACCAATAAATAGGACAAAGGACAAAAATCACATGGTCATCTCAGTAGATGGAGAAAAAGCATTTCAAAAATCTCACACCCATTCATGATTAAAAAAACCTCTGAAAAGGAATAGAAGGTCTGACAACAATCATTTATGACAAACCAACTGCTAACCTAATGGAGAGAAGTTGAAAGCTTAGCCTCTAAAATAGGAACAAGACATAGATGTCTGCCATCACCACCCCTGTTTAATACAATTTTCAAAACATTATCTGGAGCTACAAAAGAAGAGAAAGAAATAAAAGGGGTATGGATAGGGAAGTAAAAAGTTAAGTGTTCATTATTTGCTGATGATGTGATCCTCTACACAGAAGAATCAAAAAAGTCCACTGAAAAACTCCTACAACTCACATCTAAATTCAACAGTGCAAGCAAGAAGCAAAGTCAATGCTTGAGAATAGCATTCCTCTACCCAATAAGAAATTCACTGAGAAGGAAATTAGCAAAATGATCCCTTCACAATAGCAATAAGAAAAATGAAATATGTAGGAATTAATAAGAAAAATGAAATATGTAGCAATTAACTACCAAGGAAGCAAGAGACCTCTACAATGAAAACTACAGAACTTATAAAGGAAACCAAAGAGTATTGCAGAAAATTGGAAGGTAGGTTCTGTATCTGGATAGAACCAATCTAGTAAAAAATGACCATATTTCTAAAACTGTTACATAAATTTAACACAACTCCAAAGAACTAAGAATGTTCTTTACAGAACTAGAGAAAGTATAGTACTCTGAAAAAAAGAAGTGGAAGAGGATGTCAGAAAATGAAAAATATTCCCTGCTCCTGGATAGGAAGACCCAACATGGTGAAAATGGCCATACTTCCAAATTTCTTCTACAGATTCAATGCAATCCCAATTAAAATGCCATTAGTACACCTCATAGAGCAAGAGAAAACATTATTTAAATTCATCTGGCATCAGAAGAGACCTAGGATATCAAAAGCATTCCTGGGAAACAAAGGAAAGGTAAGAGACATCATAATAGCTGACTTAAAATTATACTACAAAGATACTGTGATACAAACATCATGGTATTGAAAAAAAAAATCAGACCTGAAGATCAAGGCAACAGATTAGAAGATGCAAACACAACAACCACAAACACACTTAGTCACTTTATCTTTCACAAAGGGGCCAAATACATTCACTGGCAGAATGATAGCCTCTTTAATAAATGGTGCTGGAAAAACTGGCTTTCCACATGCCAAAAACTAAAATTACACTCACGTATATCACGTGCACTAAACTACAGTAAAATGGATCAAAGATGTAAATGTTAAAACTAAAACATTAAATCTTCTGGAGAAAAACATAGGTAGAAATCTTAAAGACATAGGGGGTGGTAGAGAGTTCATTAACAAAAACCAAAATGCATGGGAAATTCTTCAAAGAATCAACAACTGGGATCTCATCTTTTTGAAAAGTTTCTACACAACAACAACAAAAAAATCACTGAAAGAATAAAAAGAAAACTCATGAATTGGTAAAATAAAAAAAAAAAAAAAACAATTCACTGTCCCTCACACAAAGGACTTCTATGTA